CACCCACCCATCCATCCACCTATCCACTTCCTGCACCCATGAGCCCAATGATCTATCTGTCCATCCACCCTTCTACACTCCTATCCAGCCATCCATTAGCCCCTCATTCTTCCCCTCCTCTAATTAACCTCCCATGCTGTGTATCTATTCAACCCTCCACTGCAACCTTCTGGTCACTTCTCTACCTATCTACCTATTCATCCATCCTCCCACCCATCTCCAGCCACCTGTCCATCCATGGGATGGTCGAGTCTTAGTTTCTGCCTTTGTGAAATGGAACTAGCAAGGCTTCCTCTGTTTTGAGGACTGTTTTGAGAATTCAGCAAAGGTCAGAACACCTGGCCCAGGTAGGTGCCAATTAAATGGGAGTGACTGTTTCTCATTGTGGTCTGGGCCCTTTGTATCCCTACAGTGAAGAAGGCAAGAGGGAGAGGAAAGGGGAGATAAAGGACCAGAAGGGCAAGATGGCTGAGAAAGAAGGAGAAACGAACTCAGGGCTGGAGCTGGAGGAGAAGGAGTCGTCTGGAGGTGATGGGAAGGTCACAGACATGGCCATGTGAAGAGTCGACACTCGCTTCCTCCAGGCAGCTGCCCACAGATGCCCCTTCCACACCGTGTAAGCAATGGCCCGGATGTGAAACCACCATAATAACTCCAATGAAGAGGCATGGGACGTGCCCTGCCCCGCCAGGGAGGGCTCCATGTGCGCATGTGTGGGCTCTTTCTGCCCTCCTTCCTGACTTGTCCGCCTAGTGATTCTTCTTGCACTGGGAGCATGTTCTTGGTTGTGGAGAAACCCCCAAGCCCCTACCATCTCATGGCTCCCCCTACTTCTCCCCACTGCCTGATTTCTTTTCCTTCTCCCTTCTATCTGTTGGCCAGAACCTACCCTGTCCCACTCAGCCCCGGGGACCAACACCGGGTAGGGGTTGCTTTTCCGAGACCTGCATTAAAGAATTGATAAGAGCCGTTCAGAAGGGTTCCTGTTGTCTCTTGGACTCAGTTTCCCCCTGGGGGAGGCAGATTTTGGGGTTGGGGTCAATGCTCGTGCGGGTATGGGAGAGCAGGCTGCACGGAGCCCAGATGCCGCCCCCCCCCCCCCCCCCCGCCCTCTCCCTGCAATCTTGATTTTGCTCCCTGAGCCCTGGACTTTGAGCCCCAGAGCACCATATCCTAGGAAATCCTCACTACCCCACCCCTCGTCTGGGGGTCACGTGACCCCATTCCTGGGAACTGGGTAGGGGAGGCTGCGTGCCCCAGGGCTCTGTGTTCCCCTGGGAAGGGGCAAGTACTTTCTCCTCCCAGTTTCCAGCCTCCCCTTTCACCTCACTTTCTCCGGGCCCTGGACCTTGCCCTGGATGTTAACTATTTCTTAATAAGGACCTTGACAAGGACTGGCGTCGGGGCTCGGTTCTGGGGCTGATCGCTGGGGTTGTTGGTAGGATGTAGCCAAGGCTGCTAGAACACTTCCAGAATCGTCCACCAGGGGGTGCAAAAAACATAAATAAAATCAAGATAATACAGGCCCTCAGAGATGCTCCCAGGGAACCCGGGGCATTTCCGTCCTCCGTCTCCATCAGTGCACAATTAGTCCCGTTTCCCAGCTGAAAATAGGGAGGCGTAGAAAGAGGGATGCCACCCGCCAGGCCTCGCGGGCTGCAGTTAGCAGAGCTGGGACGAAGGCCAGGCAACCCGCGTGATGAGGGAGTTTATAGGCTCTTTATAGGCTGAGGTCGGGTTTGGAGGTTAATGCCCTAGGATGGGAGAGGGTTGGAGTGCCGGCGGGGGGGCGGGGCGCTGTTCATGGATGGGGATCCTAGCTGGGAGCACGGTGTCCCTCTGGAATGCTGTGTGGCCCCGGCAAGGTAGCCCCTCGTCTGCACCCTGAGGACAAGAGTTAGGAGGCTTGAAGCAGTTTCCAGGGCCCAAGAGCCATGGCAAGGCCTGGCGCACAGTAGGCGCTCGGGAGATGAATCCCCACCTTTCCTGAGCCTCTCCCGTAGCTCTGGCTGTGGGGAGTGAGGGGGCCAAGGGGGACATTAGGGAGACAAGGTGCTGGATGCCCTGAACGCGGGATCCCTCCCCAGCATACCCAGAACCCAGGGAAGGGGGCCCCATCCCCCCACTTCCTGCAGCACTGGCCACACCCTGCCCTGGGGTGTCCCGGGCAGGCTACTTCCTCTTCTAATGGGGTGGCATCCCCAGAACCCGCTGGCTAGAGGCGAGGACAGACGGACAAGGATGGACAGATTCCGGATGACCGCTGGCCCAGTCTCCCTTCTGGCAGCTCTGGTCCTGCGGCCGGTTCAGGCCCAACCCTGTTGTAAGGCCTCGGGAGGGAAAGGAGGTGGGAAGGGAGCTTCGCCCACCCCCCATTCCCCATTACCGCCGCCCCCTCCATGGCCCAGCTGCTGACCCCGCCCCATCCTGCCCGCAGTGACCCAGAGGAAGCCGTGGCTGGTGGGGTTGGGAGCCATGCTGGCCGCCCTCTTCCTCCTCTTCATCCTCACAGTGGTCTACGCCATCTGGTGCAGCCAGTCCCGTGACAGGTGGGCCCCCGCTCCTGCCCGAGTCCCTCCCCTGTGGAACCTGAAGGGCTCAGAGCCACTCCCCTCCCCCCGTCCTGTCCTCGCAGAGCCTCCCAGGAGGCAGGGCAGGGCCCCGGGGGTTATTCTTTGATTCAGAACCCAGGGAGCCTCGTATAACCTCACTGTCTTCCCTCCTGACTCTCTGCCTGAAAAGCAAGGGGGCTTCCCTGAGTCCCCAGGGCTCATGTGTGTGTCAGATGGGATCCGTAAGGTCCTTATCACCTCCCTTCAAACCCCACGCATTTATCCGTCCCTCCGTCCAGTCCTGTGTGTGTGTCCCTCCCACTGTCTGCACCTCCGTCCACCTTCCCACCCACCCTCTGTCCGCATGTCCATCTGTCCATCCATCCACCCATCCACTCATTTGCCTGCCGCCCACCAATCAGCCCGTCTCCCTGGCTCTCTGCCAGTTCCCTCACCCACGGTCCTGAGACCCGGGAGGCCAGGCGGGGCCGGGTGTGAAGAGCTGGGTTAGGGCCCCGGAGCTCCCGAGTGGGCTCCCATGCGCGCTTCTTGTTCAAACAGCACCGGTGCCCTAACCTGTCTGAGCTCAGCTCAGCTCAGCTTCTGCACGGTGGGAGCCACAGGAGTGCAGGCTCAGAGGTTCGGGGGGATCGCGAGGCCTGGACACGAAATTCTTATGACGTGGGGTTTTCTGGACCCTTCTTGTCTCCGCAGCAAGAAAGAGAAGGAAGAGGGGACTGTGAGAGAAGAGGAGAAAGAAGCAGAGGGCAACGGGGGGCTGGAGCTGGAGGAGAAAGGGGGGCCTCCAAACCACGAGAGAGTGCAGAGCTCCTCTGAATGAAGGCTTCCCACCTGCCGCCTCCAGGCAGGCCTCCCAGGGATGCCCAATGCCTGTTCTGCACCCTACAAGCAAAAAGCTGGTCCTGGGGCCAGGGAAATGATGCCATGTGGGGTTCAGATGAAGTATCCCTGAGAGGAGGGCTCAGGTCCCGCCCCACGTCCCCCCCCCCTTTGCATTTACCTGGGCCTTTATACACCCCCTTCCCCAGCCCCCTTCTCAGGGGTAAGAGGGACGGTGGGAGGAAATTGCAAAGGCCCTACAGTGTTTGCGGGTCCCAGATCAGGCCCAGCTGTCCCGCTGAGTGGGCCCAGCACATGGCCATGTCCTGGGAGAGGAGGGTCCCCCCCTCTGGGCACTGATTTGCTGGTCACTGTCTGCAAGCTGTTCCTAGGTGCGGGTGCTGAGGTTGGGAGGGAACGCAGCGTCCTCCCCCCACCCCCGGGCAGCTCCCCAAAGGCTTGAACTCCCAGCGTCCTTGCTGTGCAGCCTCAGCGTGTAACCTAACCTCTCTGCGCCTAAGCTTCTTGTCCAGTAAAAGGGTGAGGGGAGTAACTTGATCCTTTATAAATTGTCACGAGGATTAAACGAAACAGTGTCCATGAAAATCCGAAGCACGGAGCCCGGAACCCAGAAGGTGTCTAATAAATGTCAGCTTTTCGGGAGGCTGAAATGGTGGGGATGCGGCCGGCGCGTGGGAGGCTCCCGCTCCGGGTGGGGGATCTGGAAGGGCACAGGGGGCGTGTCCAGGCCGCGTCCCCGCGCCCCTCCGCCTCTTGTTCCTGCCAGGGGCGCGGGTTCGGGTTCCGAGGGGGCGGTGCGGAGGGTCCTGGCGGGAGGCAGTGCCTCGGCCGCGGGGGAGGGGAGAAGGCGGGGCTGTGCGACTCCCCGCTCTCCGCGGGGGCCGGGGGGGGCAGACTTCTCCCCTAGGGGCGTCTGGAAGTTGTGGGGGTCCTGCGGCTGTCACAAGCCTGCACCCCTTTAATGGCCTGAAGTCGGGGGTCCAGGGCGGCGAGCGGCCTGCGGTGCGGGACCGTCCCCGAGCCCAGAGCGGCCTCACTCCGGGCGCTGGTGTCTGCGGAACACGGAGGCTTCCCGCACCGTGGAGGCCCGGTTGCCCCCCGCCCCGCGCCGGCCGAGCCCCGCCCGCCGGCCTGAGGGCGCCGGCGGACCCCTACCCCCACCCCGGTCGAGCTCCCGACCCGGAGCCCCCAAAGAGGTTGGGCCTTCGCTCCGCCAAAGAAGCTCCTGCTGGCGCCCCCTTTCCAGCTGCGGGGAGCGGCTGGACCGGGGGCGGGGAATGGGGCGCAGGTGGCTGCGGGCCCCTCCCCCCAAGACCCGGCTCCTGGGTCCAGAGCCTCGCCCGTCCACAAGGGGGCGCCAGAACCTCGCTGCTGAGGCGGAAGCGCCCAGCCCTGTCGGGGTTGGGACGCGGGAAGGGGACGTGAGGCATCTGGGGGGCCTCGGACCGCCCCGCCCCCGTCCCGACGACTGTCGTCTGTTCCTGCCTGGGCGGCGGCGTGGGGCCACGCATCCGCGTGTAGTGGAGGGCACTGTGCCTGCTGGTCCCTCTGTGTGTCTTGTCTCCCGGTTCCCTGGAGAAAAAGCCCAAGTCCTCCCCGAGGCCAAGACCCTGCAGGACCGGCCCATTCCCTCCCTGTCCTCCCCTCTTCCCCGGGCCCCTCACAGAGCTCCAGTCACGCGGGCCTCCTGGCTCTTCATCCAGCGTCCTGCCCCAGGGCCTTTGCACAGACTGTGTCCTCTGCCTGAAACACTCATCTGTCAGATTTCCAGGGTGCTGTGTCCCTCCTATTCATCTGTTTAAATGTTAACTCCTCACGCGAGACCCACTCTCCTTTCCCTTACTTTGCTTTACTTCTTTGGCACTTACCTCCTCTGAAATATATATATATATATATATATATATATATATATATATAAAAGATTTCATTTATTTATTTGACAGAGATCACAAGTAGGCAGAGAGAGAGAGGGAAGCAGGCTCCCCGCTGAGCAGAGAGCCCAATGCGATTCGGGGCTCTATCCCAGGACCCTGAGACCATGACCTGAGCCGAAGGCAGAGCCTTAACCCGTTGAGCCCCCCCAGGCGCCCCTCCTCTGATACATATCTTACTTATTCTTATTGTTTACCACGCGTCTTCCCAACTTGGAACTGTAAGGGCTATGAAGGCAGGTTATTTTGGGCGTTATGTTCCCTGCTGTGTCCCCAATACTTGGTACTCAGCAGATGCTCAGGAAATCTTTGCTGAATGAATGGGACTTTGCCAGGTGGAAAAGAGGGAAAGTGTTCTGTACATTTATGGAGAGAGCTGACTGCGTGCCAGGTTTTGTCCTTGAAGCTGGGGAGGGGGTGGGCTTTCCCGGCACAGAGCAGGTGCTGCACAGACGCCTGTGGGGTTTGTTGACTGAAGACCCTGGGGAGATCCAAGACTGGTCGGGGAGGAAGCTAGACTGGGGAAAGGTGTGTGGGCCTCCTGGAGGAAGAGGCAGTGATGAGCAAAAGAACAGCAGGAACCAAGGTTCAGGGCCGTGAAACAGACCAGTGTAGGGGCAGGGAGACCATAGACCACCAGGAGCATTGCAGGAAGGACCTGGGCCCTGAGCTCACGGATGTCAGCATGGAAATGGTGTCCCTCCCATGGGCACTGCGGACACGGATGTGGGTCCAGATTGCTCTCTGTGCGGGCGCCCTGGGTGCCTGCCCCCAGCCCTCAGTGCCAGGAGCCTCCCCCCAATCAACAAATGTCCCTAGGCACTGTGGAGGGTCCCTGGAGGCTGCTGGACAGAGGCCAAGGTCTCAGCCGCTGCCCGATTGTCCCGCAGCCCCAGCCCCTTCCCTTCCCTCTCACACAGAACAACCCAAAAAGCACAGAAAGGAGGACCCAGGACAGTCAGCGAGAGTTGAAGCATAGCTTGTTTAATTTTTATACATTTTTTTCTTCCTTCTTTTGTCTTTTTTTTTTTTTTTCTTTTTTTTTGATTCTTTTTTGGACCCCCCCCTTGTTTCTTTTTTTTTTATTTTTTCTTTTCTTTTTTTTTTTTTTTTTGCATAGGGAAACAAACAAACAAAATAATAACAGCCAGAGTCACTTTCTGTAAATGGTACGTAGGTAGGCGCATCTGCAAAAACCGAATGACTGCGTAATATACAAGGTTATGACCAGAATATGCTGCGGGTGGCGGCGGCGGCGGGCGGGCGGGCGAGCGGGAAGTCGGCTGGTCTGCCAGCCGTCCTGGGACCCCGTCCCCGAGGGGAAGGGAGCCGCGGGCGGCAAACCCAGCCGGGACCTTCTCCCGACCTGGGTTCACGAGCATGGGGTGTGTGTGTGATCCGGTGTGTGTGGCAAGCAGGAAGCGAGAGACAGAGTAAACTATCCTGGTAATATCAGTAAAATACAAAATGGGGGGGGGAACCTCAAAAAGTATCTCGGAGAGAAAAGAAAATGAAAGTGAAAAGCAACACCACCAAAAAGGTTTTCAGAGAAAGTTAGGAAGGAAGGAAAGAAAAGGAAAAGGAAAAGAAAAACAAGAGCGAAGAACAAGGAAACTCAGGGGGTCTCTGTCCTTCCTCCCTGCCCTGTGCCCTCTTGTCCCTCAGACCCTCTCGTCTTCCCCCATGTAGGGTCCTGGGCGTGGGAGGGCAGGAAGCTGGGGGCAGAGGCCAGGGCCCCTCGGATTTGAAGGGACTTTGGTTTTGGAGGCCTGGCTGGGACCCAAAGTGGGAGGATGGGGTGGGGAGTGGACTTCAGGGGCTCCCAACCGGAGGGGGCTGGGACAGCTCCCGTCCCCTTCCCGGGGGTCCCCTTCTAGCCAGGAGGTGTGAATGGAGGGCTACAGGGAGGGCAGAAGCTTAGGGGTGCGTGACTTCCTTCCGGTCCGAGCCCTGACTCCTGTTGGATCCTACTGCCTCTTTCCTGAGGCCTGGGGGGACCCCTGGGGAACAGGGGAGGAGGACCCCAAAACCACACCAGCAGACATGTGAGGCACTGCTTGGGAAAAGTCTTGTTTTGGTATCGCTGGCAACAAGTCCCGCTGGCACAGCTTTGGGTCTGGCCCCCCTGCCTCGCCTGGGGGGTGGGGGAATGGATGGAGGGATGGACCGGGGAGGCCGGGTCAGTGTAGAGGTGGGGGCCTCAGGGGTCCGGAGGGGCAGAAGCGGGGAAAGATGGGGGCCCGCGGAGGAAGCTGGATGTAAGGTTGGGTCTCTGGAACCCGTCTTCCAACACCCTCCACAAAGAAAAGGAGAAACCGGGGTCTCAGAGAGGGAATCCAGGTCAAAATAAGTAGCCATTGTAGAACCTGTATTATGAGAAAAAACTCCAAAAATTATATATATTTATATATATGCGTGTGTGTGTACAGAATAGCCCTAAACTGGGGGGGTCAGAGTACCGTGGGAGGGGCCAGAGTGGGGAGAGGGTCCTCGAGCGGCGCCTTGCGGGGGTCAGGAGCTGCTCCTGGCCCCAGGCTCCCACCTAACTGGTCGCCGTCCCCGGGGACAGAAGGTTCCAGAGCAGAGACGGGGAAGTGTGGGGCTGAGGCTGGACTTGTCTGCTGCTTGGGGGGTGCAGACACCCCCCAGGTCCCCTTCGGGGCTCCTCTTGGGTCTGATTGTCTAGCTCAGGGCCAGGGGTTGGGGTGGTCTGGGCTTGGAACTTGGCAGGAGCCTGGGGGCCCCAGACCCCCTTCTCTGCAGCGGGACAGGACTGGGTCTTCCCGCCCCTCCACACCTCCTTTTCCACCCTTGTCAGGAGCCCATGCCCTCATCCCAGAGAGGTGTGAGGGCGACGTGCATACATCTAGGAGGCCTCTCTGTTCTCTTCCTGCACGGCTGGAGCCCAGGGTCAGGCTGGGGGGCCACCCACTGGCGGGGAAGGACCACGGGTGGTGGGGGCAGCAGGCGTGGGAGGGGACGGGGTTGGAGAACATGTTAGTTTCACACACGTGAAAAACCATGCAGGGCCCAGCGGCCCCTCCCCGTGTCTGCAGCACCAGCCCCACTGAGAGCTGGGGAAGGGGTCTGGCTGGGTCCCTGTTTCTCGGTCTTATTCTGCCTTCGGCTTTCCTGGGGGGTGGGGGTGGGGGACACACGGGCCCAGGACGGCACTACCGACTCAGCGGGTCACACAATTGGGGGCAGGCTGCGGAGGGACGACGTGGTCCCCGCAAAGACCCTCGGGGAGGGGTCCGGGTGGGACACTTCCTCCCCTCCCCTGGGTGTCTGCTCCCCAATTCTGGGGGAGAGGGGAAAGGGATAAAACCCAGAAATCTACCGCATGAAACATGACACGCAGGGACGTGAGCTCTCGGACTAAAGGACAAATCACAGCCACGGCCACGGCCACTGAGAGTGCGACCTGCCCCCGACTTGTGGAGGCATCTTTTTAAAAGAAGGCATGGGATGAGTGTCTGATGGTGGATCGAAGTCGGGCTGGCCCATAGGGCTCCTCCCTGCTCCGGGGGCAGCCATCTGCCTGCTGTGTCCCCACAGGAGATGGGGGTGACGGGGGGCCGGAGCTTAAGAGGCCCAGCCCTCGGACACCCCGCTAACCGGCTGCTACTGTCTCAGCTTTGGTCGAGTAAAAAGCAAAGGAAATTGGGAGAGAGAAGAAAAAAAAAAGAACAAAAGCCAAACAAACCAACAACAACGGAGAAAGGAAGGAAAAGAGCATGTGGAATTAAGGACAAGACAACCGTGTGACAGCCACCAGACAGAGCAGCCCGTGCCCAGGGGTCGTCCCTGTGCCCGCGGGCTGCCGGCCAGGCCTGGGGTGGCCAAGCTAGGTCTACAGGGACAGACAGACAGATACTGCATATATTGGGTTTGGCTTCTGTTTTGTTTCATCCCAGATAACCGCCCCCCCCCCGCCCCTCACAGCTGGAAGACAGAAGTGGGTGCTGGGGCAGGAGGGGAGCGCCACCCCCAGGCCGGTCTCCAGGGATGGGAGGGGTGGCTGGGGAGTCCTTTGGCAAGAAGGAAGAGGAGTTGGGGGGAGAAGAGAGCCTGGGGGGGGCGGCAATGTGACCCTGAGCCAGGGGGACGCCAGCCTGCGGGAAAGGGGAGGCAGGACGGCCACCCCGTGGGGCCAGGGCTCACCCCTGAGGTCCGTCCGCTGCTGTGGGCGGGGGCCTCGGAAGGGACTCCTCTGGAGCCCAGGGGTGGGGCTGGGGGCGGCAGAGCACCAGGGAGCGCCCCCCACTGCAGCGGGAGGCGTGGCGACGGGTGGGGATGGGGGGACAGGGCCAGCCACGGAGCCACTGTTCTGTGGATAGCTTTTCTAAGCGTGGGATTTTCCTTTTTTTCTGTTTTTAATTCTTATTTTTTTATTTTTATTTTATTTTTTACAAATAGAAATACATCCCCCTTCAGTTTTTATTTTTTATTTCATGTCATTGTTTTGTCTGTGTTTTGGAACTACACGAGCAGAGCATGCAGCTATCTGTGCGCTGATATTGTTTAAAGGTAATACTTATTCTCGGAAGGCAAGGCACATCATGTGGTAAAAAATTTCGTGCAAATTAGGAAACATGGAGTTTTTTTTAAGGTTTTTTTTTTGTATCTTTTTTTTTTTTTAAAGAGGAGGGGGGTAGTGTTGGGGGGGGGGGGGGGGGGGGGGGGGATAGAGCCAGGTACGATTTGCCATGCAGGGTCAGCCGCAGCGAGCTGGCCTCAGGAGCCAGGTCACAGGAATCCCCGACGAAGCACCATGCAAAGTTAGGTAGCTGGGGGCCGTCAGATGCCCTCCCTACCCTGCCTACCCGCACCCTAAGGTTCCCGGCGAGAAGCTTCCGGATACCCCAGCTGCACGACCCACCCCCTCCTGCCCTCCGGGAGAGCGGCCCATGCTTTGGTCCCCAACAGCTACCCCATGGAGGGGGGGCCCTGGGGACAGACGGACGGACCAAGGGTTCTCGAATGCCTCTGGACAATGGGAGGGGGCTTGGTGGGGAAGGGTCTTTCTCTTGATGGTTGAGTGGGTTTGCCAAGCCCCTTGGGCTGGTTTGGGAGGAAAGTCCAGTTTCTGGGGAGGTTGGGGGGAGGCTGGCCAGGCCTGGGGTACCAGGAGAGGGCCAGAGGCGCCAGGCTGGGAGCAGATGAGGTGAAGGCCCAGCCCAGGGCGATGGCTTTGGCCCAGGCCAGGGGGTCAGGGGTCGTGGTGGGGAAGGTCTTCCCCAGGGCCAGGCATGGAGGAGGCCGGTTGGGACTCAGATGGATGGGGTGGGAGGGGTCCCTGTGTTCGGGCCTCGTGACCCAAGAACACCTAACACCCCCTCCCAGGCTCCCCCACCCAAGATAGCCATCCTGGGGTGGGGGTGGGGATGGGGCCAGGGAGCCGGGGTTGGGGGGGCACCCGGGGTCCCCAGCTTAGTGTTTTTGGAGCGGCTCAACGGAAAACATTTAGCAGATGGGAGGTCCCCCACATGGCCACAGGGGACCCCCCCAGGTGCCGACCTCCCCTGCCCCAGACAGAAGCCCCCAACCCCACCCCTGGGCTCATGCGCACCGTGGGTGCCCGGAGGCCTGGCTCTGATGCAACACCCCGGCTATGCCCCACTTCGGCAGGGGGAAGATGAAAGTGCAAACCGTGGCCCCCCTTTGGGCTGGGAGGCGCCAGGGAGGGGTGTCGCTCCAGGATGTAAGGCACTGGCAGAGGAGGCAAGGGAGGGCCCGCTGGCTTCCCCAAATCCCACCCCCGTGCCCGAGCACGGCAGGGCTTGAGGAGTCTAGCTCTGCCCCTTGGGCCACCTGTGGGGAGGGTCCCCATCTCTCTAGCTCTGAGGGGAGCACAGCAATGAGGGTCAGCGACTGGAGGTGGCTGAGTCAGGGGAGGGAACGGAAGGGGCCCGCGGCCACTTCCCATTCCAGCTGGACAAAGGGGGGCGGGCGGTGGGAATCAGGCACTTAAACCACTCGCTCCCACCTCCCACCTCCGTGGGCTAAGCGGGGGCAGGGGGGTCCTCCCGTCCCAGGGCTCAGGCGGATGGAGGCTCCAGACAGGGTGTCCCCTCCCCAGGAGCTCTGAGTCTCTCCACTCTGCCCCCCAGCCCCTTCCTCGGAAAGTGCATTTCTTACAGTGTGTGCAACGTGGGTCCCTTCCCGGGGGTGGGGTTGGGGGTGCGGAGCAGGGCCAGCGGTGGGATGCGGGGTGGGGGGCCTCCTCTGCCGGGGGTGGAGCTGGGGGGCAATTGCATAGAGACTTTTCTTCCCAAACAGGGTAGGCGCGCGGCTGCAAGCCCAAGTCAGAGCCGGGCCGGCGGGGCCAGGCGGGGGGCCCTCGGCCACAGGACGCTCCTGATAATGCTCCCGCCACGTGTCCCAGTGCCCTGGCGACACCCAGGGTCTCCCCACAACCCTCTTCTGCCTGTGTCATTTCCCCGCCCACCCAGGCCTCCACATCGGCCTCTGCTGCCTGCCACCCGCCCCCGACAGGACCCCCCCAGCACCCGCCTCCCCACTCGGCAGACACCGAGGCCCGGCGGGCATCCCGGGCGGCGGGGGCACAGGGAGAGGTGGCTTTGCTGGGTGTCCTGCCCGGTGGGGCCCGGGCCGAGGCACTGGGCCGCGCTCACCTGGTCTGGGGCGGAGGCGGGGAGCGGGCGCCCGCCCTCGGAGAGCAGCAGCCGGAGATGAGTGAGGACTGAGGACGGCGCCGCGCGGCGAAGCGGGCCAGACGGGTGGCGGGGCCTGGCCGCGGGTCGGCCGCGGCATCCCGAGAGTTCTGAGGGGTGGCCGTCTCTACTGTTCGTCGTCTTGGATGGGTGGGTTTATTTTCATGGTGGTTTTTTTTCTGTTTGTCTTTTTTTTGTTGTTGTGGTTGTTGGTGTTTTTTTTTTTGTTTTTTTTTGGTTTTTTTTTTTGCCTTTTTTCTTTTTGCTTGTTTCCCTCCTGCGTGTGTGCGTCTGTTCTGTCCTTCCGGCCAGGCTGGGAGTCGGCAGGGTCGTCTCGCTCGCTCTAACTTTCCACTGAAAACGTGGGCCGGGGCCGGCAGTGCGGCCCCCTGGGATTCCCGCGACGGAGGAGCAGGGCGTGGGAAGAAATCTTTCTTATCCCAGATACCAGGACTGGGTGCCCAATGGGGACACACGGAGAGAGGAGAGAGGAGAGAGAGAGAAATGGGGGTCAGGCTCCCACCATGGACCGCACTGGCCACTGCCCGGTGCACCCGCCTCCCCGGGACCCGTCTCCCGTGTCCCAGACATGTCATAACCTGCTAGAGGGCCCCGGACAAGGCTGCTGGATGAAGCGCAGCGCGCCCAGTGGTACCCGATCTCTGGAGAAGCCACCGAGAAAACGCGTTTACGGGGTAACTTCTGGCCTATCCTTACGCCGCACCAATTTTTTGAAACTTATTTTTATCACTTGTTTGTCTGGGATTTAAACCTATTGGAGCCTCCTGGGGTTCTGCTTACAATTGGGTCTCTGCGCCTCGGTGCCCCGAGTCTACAAAGTGGGGAGAGGCTGTGGCTCTGACCCGGTTTCTCTCTGCACCCCGAATCTGTACCACGTGCCACACCGTCCAGGCGACTGGAGCTGTTCGCTTTGTTTTTGAACAAATGCTCTCCCATTTAACGATCCCCCCACCAGATCCCCCATGAAGGAGGGACTATGCCTCCGGCCATCCTGTTTCAAATAAGAAAATATGGGCTCAGAGAAGTCAAGGAACTTGCCCAGGGTCACCAGCGTGGGGGCACCAGAAGGGAATTCCAACTTGGGCCTACGCGGCTCTGGCCCTTGCCGGGCCCCCGCCTGGCCCTGGAGAGATCATGACCTCCACTTTCCATGGGGTGGGGGGGGGTGGGGGTGGGAGGGACTGGGGCACTGGGTTAGGGACGGTTCTAGCCTGGGTCTCCGCAGGGAAGCCACAGAACAGCCCTTTCCTGGAAAAGCATCCAATCCACCTGCGGGAGGCCGGCCCGGCCCCCCCCCCACTCAACTGAGGCTGCCGCAGCGTCGTCCCGCACCCCTGCTATCAATCAGTTGTGCCTCTCCATCCGCCTCAACTGAGGCTGCTGCAGCGTCGTCCCTCACCTCTGCTATCAATCAGTTGTGCCTCTCCATCCGGGACGTCCCTGTGGGCCATCCCAGTGACCTGGCGCCCTGGCTCCCAGCCCCCCACCTCCAGCCAAGTTCAAGTTCATCTTGGCCATTACCTCATGTCTGGTTTCTGTTGGCAACCAGACAGACTCTGGGCGTGACCCTCCCCCATGGTGGCCTCCCCTCAGCCCTTCCTCCTTCCTCCCTCCCAGGCCTCTGGTCCCAGTAACTTAACATCCTCCCCCTGGGCTGGGGTGCCGGGGGCGGGGGAGGTCCCGGCTCTGGGCCCCCCGGCCCTGCTGGAGCCACCAGTGTGCCTCCAGCATGTGGCTTAGCCCCTCTGGCCCCGGCTGACTCATCTGCTGGGTGGCGCCATGTGCTTCTGGGCAGAAAGGGTCCTGGTACAAAATGTCAGCAGGGCCCCGTGGGGGGGGGTCCCCATCACAGCGGAGAGGGGGTGGAGGTGTATGGGCCCATGGAGCCCCACTCTGGGGACCAAAGTGATGGAGGGCTCAGGACTTGGGAGGGGTTGGTGGGGGGAGATGAAGAAGGTAGGTAACTGACCAAGGGGGAGGGGCTGATGGGGAGAAGGGGATGTTGATCAGGGGGAGGGGTACTAGTCTGGGAAGGGGAAATTAACCAGGGTGTAGAGGCACTGCTCAGGGAGGGGGATATTGAGGGGGGAAGGGACACTGCTGGGAGAGGGGTTGCTGATGGGAGAGGGGCACCGAAGGGGGGGGAGCACTGCTCGGGGAGGGGGATACTGATAGGGGAGGGGCACTGTTGAGGGAGGGGCTGTTGATGGGGAAGAGGACATTGGCTGGGGGAGGGCACTGATGTGGGGGGAGAGGAAGACAGAAGATGGACAGGTGTGGGGGGGAAAGAGGCTGCTAGAGCCTGGGGGGAGGAGCTGGGGGCTGGCAGGGCGCGGGGGGGGGGAGACAGGAAAGCAAACGTCCTGGGAATAATGATGGGGGGAGACAGAAGTGCTGACTGGGTCAGAAATGAGAGGCCTCGAAGCTAAGAGCCTTTTGCATCAGGGCTCCAGGAGCGGGCAGCAGGGTCTCATGGTCTCCTCCCTTCCCTTAAGGGTCTGCAGGGGGCAGGGAGCAGGCGCCTGACCCCACTAGGGAACTGGGGCACCCTTAGTCCAGGGGCCAGGGGTGCAGCTGGCTGCAGGGGCTCCCCTGGAGTGGCAGTTCCCGCTCACCCAGGTTGGGGCCTCACCTTGCCCACATCGCAGGCCCCCTCGGGAGCCTCTCACCCAGCTGGCATCTCCCTTCCATGTCCTGTGTGCCCCAGCAACACCAGCCCCAGAAAGTTCTTTCTCATTTCCAGACCCAGCTGTCCCTCCCTCACTTAAAATCCTTCCATGGCTCCCCACGGCCCTGAGGACGAAGCCCACCTTCAGGATGTTTCTCCAGCATTTCCAGCCTTTGTCAGTGCCAAGCCTCTGCCTGGGCACCCTTGTCCTGCTCTCCTGCTGGCCAGCCTTTGTACCAGCTCCAATCCCTCCCTCCCCAGGCAGGGCGCTAGGTGCCTCTCCCTGAGCTTCCCTCCACACCAGCTGGGGCCCACTGGCCAAGGGGCGGCCATGAGAAGTACAGAGAACCAAAGTATGCCCTGGCCTGCCTCGGTTTCCCTCCTCTTCCAGAACATCGGCTGGAAGGTAGAGGCTGAGCATGGGGAGGTGAGGGGTTGGGAGCCCGGAGAAGAGTTAAGCAGGCAAGGTGTCCCCTGGCCACTTCCGTTTCGGAAGCAGATGGGACATTCCCAGCCTCTAACTGGGGGCAGGCGAGGAACCACGGGCTCCGGAGCCCTGGGGAGCGGGGGTGTCCATGCTGGGACTGACAGAGGGTGGCTACGGGGTCCCCAAAACCCAACGTGCAGAGTCCTGGAGTCGCCCCAGCTTTCTGAGGGCCCCTGACCAAGGGGTCCCTGTCTGGATCCCAGCGGGAGCTCTCCCGAGGCGGAGTACTCAATATTCGGAGCGGGCAAGGGTATGTGGGGCCATCTCTTTGCCCCTGGGGGGCCTTTCTAAAGAAAACTGGTCCAGAAGGAGCGCTCCCTGGGAGGTGTCTGAGGCCAGAAGATGAAACAGAGGTTCAGAGTGGGTAAAGCAGAGCCAGGTGTGAGCCCCGGCCTCCCGACCCCAGCATCACTGCTGAGGCCCCGGCAGGGAGGGAGGGCAACGGCTTCCCCGTACACTATGGCCCCTGCCAGCTGCCAGCAGCAGCCAGGTCTGCCCAGGAGGGTCCCCAGCTGATTCTGGTCTTAGCTAAGGACAGGTCGAAGCCACCTCTCCACCTCCTTCTCAACCCCTGCCCATGCCCTGTGGCAGCAAACCCACCCCCAGCGACTGGAGGGACCACATGCGGCCTCGGGGGCCCACAAATGCGCAGGCTCTGGGACCCCGGCAATCTGGAGATGCTGGGGAGCCCCGGGCTGCTCGCTCTGCACATCTGGGCATTGGGGGGCCTGCAGAGCCTGGCTGTTTGACATCCTCCAACACCCTCCCCAACACATACTGGGAAGCACGGACTCCGGACTCCAGACCCCACCCCCAGGCACCACCTGCCAATATACCGCCAGCCAGCAGCGGCAAGGACTCAGACCCCAACCCCCCGAAAGCTGAGAGCCACGAATCTTAGCTCTGGACCCATAGGGGCTCTGCCCTCCCCTCCTGCGTGGCCTCAGGCAACTCGCTCTTCCTCTCTGAGGCTCCGAGTCTGGTCTTCAGCTCCCCCCGCCACCGCCCTGCGGCACACTCAGCCCCATGGGGCCCACTCAGCCTCAGCTCCCCTCTCCACATCAGAGACTGCAGCCCCAGGTGCGGGCTGCGCAGGCTACTGGGGGGCCCCGTCCCTGGCATGCCTCCATTTCCCTGGCTGCCACCGGAGTCCTCGAGTCCGCGGCTACCCTCGGTCCCCCTTTCTCATGCCCCCTCTGGCCAGCAGCATGGAAGGGGATGAAGGCTGGGGGCTGCAAGCTTGGGCTGACGTGCTGTGTGATCCTGGGCAGATCCCCTCACCTCTGCGGGCCTCAGTCTTCCCATCTGTACAAATGGGCCTGGGGTGGTACCAGCCCTGGCCTCGTGGCAGCTTGGCTATGAGGGTCTCCCTGTTGGGAAGCGGCAAGCGGGGCTGGGGGCTGTACCACGTCCCCGGGCACGGGCTCGAGGCCCTGGGAGGGTATGGGCAGCTGGACCCCCTACCATGCACAACGGCCACCATGCCAGGGGTACAGCCGGAGTGGCGTGGGACCAGCAGGCCGGCCTCTCCCTGCGCCCCCAGGCGGGGCCCTCTGCCCTGCCCCGCCCCACGCCCCCCCAGCCGGCCTCTCGGCCCCTACCTGTGCCTGATAAATGCCCGCTGGATCCCTTGGTCCTAATCCCACAAAGGAACGGTTTGCAGGGGACGTGCCGGGCGTAGAGTAGGCTGCGGGGAGGAGAGAGACCGAGAGCCCGTTAGCAAAGGGGGGCTGTGCGGGAGCACCCAGAGAGAGTGGCCGCTGCCCAGGGTCACACAGCCGGGCCTCCGCACCCAGCACCCGGCACCTCCAAACCTGACGCCCTCCCTGGCCGCTCCGGGCGCCCCAGAGAGCCTACAGCGCCGGGCCCTGGGGTCCCGCAGGCGGGGCATCTGCTGATGGAAGGCACGAGATGAGATCCAGAACCAGAGACCGCCCGTGCGTTATTCAGGGGCGCCTGCTCCTGCGGCCTGCACCCCGCGCAGGGCGCGTGTGTAAGAGAGGGCGCTTTACTGATTCCTCCTCCTCTTGGAGGCCGTATAGGGAAGGCTGGGTGTTTGCAGACACACGCGCACACACGTTTATAGTTACGCTCACGTTTAGAGTTGTGTCTTCTTCCCCCCAGCTACGTTCCGCTGGTGAGGGAATAATTCCCAGCCCGAGGCTGCCGGGGAGGTTGGGGGCCTGGGACAGGCTGGGCCCAGGGTGGCGGGAGGGTCCCTGCGTGGGATCGGCCAAGCTGCATGTGCCCCTAGAACCGGGTGTGGAAGGAGGAGAGGGAGTTCACGGCCTGGTCCCGTGGACCCTCAGAGGCCTCTCTACCTAGCGAGCGTGATGGCTGCTGGTCCCATTTTACAGATGAGAGTGGTCAGGGCCGGGGTACCCAGGCCAGTACTCTCTGCTCCCTGCCTGGCGTGGCGCTGAATGTCCTCCCTGGTCTCGCTCCTCCCCTCGCTCCCTGCCAGCCAACTGGGTACCCTGCGACCTCGCTATTTTACGTCTGAGAAAACAGGAGGCTCAGAGGGCAAGGACATTTCCGTGAAGACACACGGGGACGGAACTTCAGAGACGGGATTCAAACCCGGCACCTATACCACACCTGGCACAGAGAAAGCCTTTCCACTCCTGCAGCTGCCCTGGGTCCTGGCTGGCCCTGGATGGTGGGGGCAGGGGCGCGCCTGCGGGGCCCCCCCATCCCCGGCCAGGAGTGGTGAGTGTGACGGACAGACTGAGAGGTCTGGGGTTTCGGAGATCACCTGCTCGGGACAGCAACTGAGACGGCGTTGGGGGGACGGCCCAGAGCATGGCAGCCCGGAGGAGCGTGCATGGCCCACCCTGAGCCTGCACTGAGGTTCAGGGAGAGCCACTGCTAATGGGGGTGGACTCTAGGACTGCGATTTTCAGAGCCACTTCCCAGCCTGGAGCAGCCCCGGCCTGGGGGGTGCAGGAGGGCCACCAAATGGTCATCTGGAACCACATCCAAAGGACGGAAAGTTCTAGAAGGCGAGGCAGTCAACTCCAGGCCTTGTAAGGTCAGGTGGGCAGGTGGGGACTATCCCGTCTAGAGGCGTGGCCCAGCCTGGGTCACCAGCAGGAACAGGGCCCATCAGGGCTGCCTTTTTTTGTTGAGAACCCACAACTCTGAAATTTTCATGTGAACTATCCTGACTCTGAGACAACAACAAATTCTCATTTTCCACCAACAGAAGGCATCTGGGGGCTACCTCTGCCCCCAAGGCCACCAGTCCGAGATCTTTACCTACTGCCACCTGCCTGCTGCATGGAGGAGGGCGGAGGGGCTGGGAGCGGGCACGCGGGGACCCCAGACGCCCCTCTGGTCCTCTCCTGCCACTCCCTAGGGCTGCCTTGGCCCCAAGTGGGCCCGACCACATGGCCCCCCCCGGGCCTCTATCCGGGGACCCACCAAACTCACCGGTACCCCGCGGGCCGGGCCCGAGCCCCTGACCCCAGCAGTCGGGGAGGGGGGAGGAGGGGGCCCCTCAGGGACGCCCGCCCTGCCACGGGCACCGCTTCCCGAGTGCTTACAGGGCGAGGTCGGCGACGTGCTTCCTCCCTCGGAGGTGGGTTTGGTGGCGGGGGGGAGCGCCAGCCGCGGGAGCCCAGGGGGCGGGGGTACCAGCATCTGAGCAGAAAGGCAGTGACTGGACATTTTGAGCTGACCACTTCCATTTAACTGGGAGGAACAGAGAGACAGGTGGTTAAGGCGGCGGGCGCCCCCTCTGCCTCGGGCAGCCAGCGACAGCCCTGCCGGGGGAGGGCCGGGCTTGGCGTGACCGGGCGAGTTTGGTGGGTACTGCTGCCGCCCCCTCGCCTGGCCCCGTAGGCTTCTAGAAGCATCCTGGGACCCTGTGTCTCCTCCTGAAGCCACTCTTTACCCATCTGTTCCTTCCATGAGACGCCACCTAGACCTGACCGGGGTCTGACCCCATGGGTGGGGCTGTACACTCCCCTCGTCCGCCTCGCCCACAGCTCCAAAATGCAGAGGGCTCTGAACCCCGAAAGCTAGTCTGGAGAAGGTGGGCCTGCGCGGAGGCCCCAGACCGTGTGTGACTGGGGGGCAAACTGTGTGCTGTCCATTCCGGCACCTGGAACAGCCTTTGTGCTGACCTGGCCCGGCTCCGGGCACTTCAGGCAGGGGAACGCGGCCCCACTGTCCACAAAACCATTTAAGACGGGGGCTGCCTGGCGGAGGGCCCCCCGGGGAGGTCCCCTGGAGCCCTGTGTGGGCAGGTGGCCCCGTGGGGCAGAGGCGAGGCCCAAGCCCCCCAGACTCACCGGTCCAGGCTGCTGGCTGGCTGGGTCACAGGCCAGCGACACGAGATCTTTGAGCGGGTCCTGGGGGTTGAGGTGAGGCGGGTAGCGGATGGCCGTGTGCGGGAAGTAGGTAGAGGCCGTCTGGGGCAGGATGGAGGTCGTGGGGAAGTGCAGGGCGGAGGACGGGTGAGGGCTCCGGGCGATCCCTGCGGAGAGCAGGTGGGGCGGTCAGTGCAGGCTCCGGCTGGGGACATGGTCTCTCTGCGACTGGGTCTGCAGGCACGAGCCCGACGACACAGCAAATCCCAGCTTCACACACTCAAGCTTGAGTACTTCTACCATAAGCCCATGGGTTTCTGGTATCACCATTTTTTAAAGCAGACTCCACACCCAGCACAAAGCCCCACGCGGGGCTTGAACTCATGACCCTGAGATCAAGGCCTGAACTGAGATCAAGAGTCGGACACTGAACCAATGGAGCCCCCCAGGCACCCCGGTTCCATCTGGTTTTGAGACAGGACATGGTGGCTCTCTGAGGTTACGTTCCCCACCCCAGACCACACAGCCAGCAGATGGCAGACCCAGGGAAGGGCTGCCCCACAGCCCACCCCAGGGCTCAGCCAGCTCTCCGTAGACAGTGCACTGGTTTCTAGCACATTCTCTGGGCAACCAGTATGACAATTCCTTTCAGGACACTCCCATCATCCTGAAAAGCAACCCTGTCCCCATCAGCGGTCACCCCCTGTGCCCTCCCCAACAACCATGAGTCCCCACCGGCCCCCTTCCCGTCAGTGGAGGAGCCTGGTCTGGGCGTGTCACATGCGTGGACTCACACCCCGTGTGGTGCGGCCTTCTGTGTCTGGTTCCCTCCCCAAGCGTCGTGGGCTCGGGGTCCGCCCGTGGGGGCACCTCACTCCTACTCACGGTGAGTAAACGGGCCTGTGTGATACTTGCTTCCTTTTCTTCTTCTAAACCACCCAGTAATTCCTCGTATGTTCACTCTCTTTCTAGAACATTTCCATCCCCCTCAATGGCAGCCCTGCTTCCGTGACCACTCCCTCCCCCTCCTCTCTCCAGCTGCCAGTGAACAGTGTGGACTTCTGGCTTCTCAGGCCCCAGGTTCTCCTGCAGCTACTGGGCTCTGCCCACCACTGCCTGGGAGCTGCCACAGACGGCGTGTCCACGGGTGGACGCAGCCAGGCAGCCATGGAACCCGTGTGCGTGTCTGCCCTTGTGGGGCACTAGAGCATCATCATCGTGACAACCGGCTCCCCGGCGACATTCAAGCCCTCGATCTAGCTCATCTGATCCTAAACACAGTCCCCTGTATCCCCTGGGTGGCCTTCACGTGGCCTGGCCTGTGTCCACCCCCTTCTGGGATCTCCCAACCCTGTGCGGGCTGAGTGTGAGATAAGGCGAGCAGGCGGAGGGGGCAAGCCCAGCCCAGAGCTCCTTCTGGTACAGACGGGGACACTGAGGCCTGAGAGACAGATCAGGGCCAGGCGCCCCGAACCATGGCACCTCCAGGTGTTCTTGCCTGGCCGGGAGGCGATGGCAATAGGACTCATGTTCAGAGGGCCTGAGGGACGTCCCTGGCCGAGGGGGACCTGGTCAGAGGGACCGCCGCGTGCTCACCGCTGTGCACGGCGATGACAGGCCGGTGGTGCTGGGTGAAGCTGGAGAGGCGAGGTGAGTCCTGGGGAGATGGGCTGTGGAAAGGTGACTTGTCCATCTCTGTCTTCTTTACCGGCGACGAGATGCCTGTGTGGGGGGGAGTCAGAAGGTCACAGGGCCGCAGGCAGACAGAGCCCGGCCCTTCCTTCTCCCAGCAGCCCGGGGGGCGAGGGCCGGGGAGCCCACTGTCCGGGGCGGGGGTGGGAAACCAGGGCTCCGAGCACAGAGTGGGTGGTCGCCCAGGGTCACATGGGCCGTGGAGCGAGGAGCCTGGTGCCCATGGAGGGCTGCGGACACCAGGCCTGGCCCCCGTCTTCTCTCCTTCTGGACACAGGCAGGTCCGCTCGGGGCCCCGACCCCCTGGGCCACCAGGGCCCTGGACAGAAGGCCACAGGGTCCCTCGGGAAGGTCCACCGGGCAGAGATGTGCCAGCAGGACGTGTGTGGACCTCATCCTCGCTGCAGTGAGGACAGAATTTCCTGTGGGGCCATTGCGAGGGGCAAGGGAGATGGGACACAACAGCTGTCAGACCAGGGCCTGGCACCCGCCCAGCCTGCAACCCCAGAACAGGGGCCTCACCGTCTCCCCAGGGCACCCGGGGGCCCTCCAGAATCAGGCGAGCCCCCTGCACCCCCACCCCTGCCATCGCCCAGATGTGTAGGTGGAAGGTGATAAGGGCAGAGTCCCAGGCCCAGCTCCACCCCTGCGACCAGGGCACAGGGTCTGCAGATAGATATGCTTAGAAATGATTTTTAAGAATATTACTCAGAGTGACATGTACCCACAGAGACCCAGAGTGGACTCAGGCGTGTTGGGGGTGCGCCTTCCCTCCCACTGAGCACTGCGGACGTAGGGGCCGGCCATCCGGGGTGGGGGCATCCCGCCTGCTGCAGGCCAGGCAGCATCCCTGCCCAGCAGTCCCCACAGTGTGACAAGCACACACTCGGTCCCTGGGCCGAGTCGCCCTGGTGGGAGCCACTTGGTTTCCGGGATATCTGGTCACACAGGCCCCCCAGCCCCCTCCTGTGCTGTGTTCCCTTGGCCACGCTGCTGGGTCCTGCCTCTCGTGGCCCTTCCCACAGCCATGGTGGTGGTGACCAGATCTGGGAACCAGCGCCCCCCTCCACAGCCATGGGGGCAGCCAGGAGGTTCTGCTGTTACAACCCTGCTCACTAGACCTGCATGCACACGGCGCGGGGAGTGCGTGAGCCCCGGGACCCGGGTCGGTGGGCCTGGACGCTGGGCAGCCGGGATTTCCCAGGGAACCACTCTGCCCCGAAGAGCCATCAGCTGGCCCCGTCACTCTCTGGGAGGGGCCAAGGGGGCGCTGAGCAGTGTCCCCAGCCCCAACACCTTGGAGCCAGGAGCCCCTTCCCAGAGCCGGAGCAGCGACAGCCCTGTCCTGATGTCGGCCTGGGGTCCCTGGGGGCAGAGCGGGCAGGGCACGTTTGGTACCGCTCCCAGCAGCCCCGGGCAGGGCTCCCAGGAGTCACCCTCACTCCACAGATGGGGACCCTGGCTCAAGGCCACCAAGCTGAGAAGTGGTGGAACTGACTCCAACCTCCACCAGCCACGCTCTGCACCCCTCCTGCCCCCACCGCAGCTCGATGAGAGGAGAGGGAAGCCCCCCCACGTGACAGAGAGAGCAAGGAGTCGCCTGCCTCACCCAGTACCATAACTGTATGTGGGGGGGCCCATGCCCCTGGCAGGATGGCCCCAGGAGCAGCAGGAACCAAGCAGTCTGGAGGGTGCCCCTTTCTGGCCCTCAGGGGTGTGTAATCAGGGAAGGCCTCAGGAGGGGGTGGCCAGGAGGAGGAAAGGCACTCCTAACCTGGGCACAGAAAGGGCAAAGGCCTGAGAGGTGGGGCTGTGGGGATGCTGCTGGGGGCAGGGGGGACATGATCCCTCCCCCACTCCCAGGCCTCTGCTGCCCCGGTAAGGGATGCTGGGGTGGGGTGGGGGGGCTGTTAGCTGAGCACTGCCCTTGTGGCCAGAACAGAAAAAGGGAGAGAGTGCTATAATCAGCTTAACCCTCTTAATGAGCAGCTAATTGGGGGCTGTCTAGACAGGAAGCTGGAGGAAGCCAGGAGGAGGAGAAAATGGGGGAGGGGGGAAAAGATGGGAAGGAGAGGAGAGGGAGGAGGGGCAGAGGAGGGAGGAAAGGAAGAGGGTGGGGGGAGGGCAGAAGGGGGAGGGGAGGATGAGGAAGGGGAAGAGGAGGGGGGAGGATGTGAATCTATATTCCCCACCAGGCTGGGAGCATCTGCAGGGGCCCAGGCACCCACACAGCGGGGGTTTATACTCAGGGCCTTGAAGGAGAGAGCGAGTTTGCCATCACCGGAGGCAACCAACTGAGGCTAGAGGGGACAGATCCCCTCTGACATTTCCCTCCGGCCCTGTACACAGCAAAAGCGGGTGTGGGCTCCTCCCCGTCTTCTGCCACGGCTGCCACTTCATGCTCAAGGCAGGAAGTTGAGACCAAGCTCCAGTGACTCTCTCAAACATTTCCTTCCTTTTAATGTTTTTGGGGTTTTTTGGAGCTTCCTGCATTGAAAGCTAGCTTTTTGACTTCCACCCCTTCTCTTTTTCTCATCCACAGACTCAAGGCTATAATTTTTCCTCTCGGGACTGCGGTGGCTACATCACAGAGGCTGTCCTCTGCCTCTAAACAGCATGTTCCTATGTAGGCTGTCTCGCCAATCAGAGCCAGTCTCCCCAGTATCTGCTCTACCCTTCTTCCTTAGTACCAGAACCCTTAAATTTGAGATGGGCACATAATTGTTGAAAATGACATCTCCTAGTCCCTTGGAGCACAGTGTGGCCATACGACCAACTCAGGGGCACAGAGATAAGCAAAAGAGGTTAAGTGCATTTTCTGAGCATTATTCTTAAAGGGCAAGGACATGCTCAGACTTGACCCTTCTTCTTTCCTGCTGGCTGGAAAACAGACATGATGGCTGGAGCTCCAGCAGCTGTCTTGGACCATGAGGTGGGAACGAAAACCACATTCACTGGAGCATAAGGCAGGAGCCCAAGTCCTGCACACGATACATGTCCAGGGTTGCTGATGGCTGAACATTTACTTTTGAGAGAAATGCCCCGTCCTTTTAGGTTTTCCGTTTCTCACAATCAAACTTAGAGCCTATTAAACGCAGGATTTTAATAGAGGCAAACCTGACAGAAACGGGGAATGCACAGAGAGAGCGAGTCACAGAGACACTCTGACCCATAAATCAGAGCGGGTAATAAGTAGATCTGCCCAAAGTTAGGTAGCTGCTCTGAGAGCTGGCCCAAGGGAAGAGCAAGGACTCTCGGGGCTCGAATGCTACAACCAGATGTCTTAGAGACCGACTCCTAGAGATGAGAATTTTATAAAGACACAAACAATGAACTGTGCCCCGGGCACTTACTCTGTGCTTTAAGAAAGTTGCTTTAAGCACGGGCCTCCTTCCACCTCCAGGAGAGAACAGTTAGCTCATCAATCCCATTTGGGACATAAGGAAACGGGGGCTCAGAGAAGTCAAGTCACCTGCCCAAAGTTACACAGCCCAGGCAGCGAGCCACCGAGCCAGCGGCCCAGCCGCATTTCAAACCCCGGTCTCTCTGCTGTCCAAACCTGCTCTAACGGTAATGTTAACTGCCTTCCAGGAATCCTGCAGGTGCAACGGACACTTTGTATAGACGGAGTTTTAAAGACAAGCAGGCCCTCGGGGTCAGGGGGGAGGAACAGAGGGGGAGGAGACAAGCAAACCACTCTTCGGGTTTCGTGGGTGTGCAGGATATGCCAGGCTTGTTTTAGGGACACCAGAGGCATTAACTCAGGTAACCCCCACAACAACCGCAGGCGGGGACTGTAGGCACACTAACAACCCCATTTCACAGAGCAGGAGACCGAGGCTCAGAGCAGCGGGCTCCCCAGCGTCCAGGTTGGCAATCCCAGGCCAATCCGTGGCGCGAGCCCCCATTACGCGCAAGAGTCGGGACGTGGCGGTGCTTCTGAAATCTGGGGCGCGGGTCCCGCGGAGGCTCTGCGCGTCGCCAGGGACGCCGTGCCGGGGGAGAGGCAAGCCCAAGGGCCGCCCTGCGCCCCAGGTCGCGACAATCCCCGAGGCCGGCGCGCTGCAGAGCAGAAGGCCGGATTCCTCGGAGGAGAGCCGCGGCGGAGACGGGGACCCCCGGGGAGGGAAAGCCGCACAGGTGTCCCTGGGGAGCCGACGGACCCGCCGCCCCCCAAAACGGGACCCCCGCTGCGGAGGGCCCACGCAGGCAGCAGCGCGACAGGCGGACACGAGGACACCGGGGGAAGAGCGACGGGGCCCGGAGGGCGCGGCACTCACTCGCGGGGATGCGAGCTCCACAGGACCAGGAGGACCCAGGCAGAGGGGACCCCCCCTGACGACGGTCTGTGGCCGACCCCGGGGGGCAGAGTCCTGCTCAGAGCGTCCAGCTCTGCCGAGTCCACTCCGGAAGCCGCGGAGACGGACCCACGGGGATGAAGCCTTACCAGGCAGCGCACACGCTCCGCTCTCCCCGTCTTGGCGGAACCAAAAAGCTCGGGAACGACAGCCCGGACTCCCAGCGGCGAACCGCCCGTGCGACTACAATTCCCAGGAGGCTCCGCGGCTCCACACCCCGAGCCTTCCCGCACCCGGGGGCCCGCGCAGTGCCTGCCGGAATATGTAGTCCCGGCCGCCGTAAGGCCGACCCCGAGGCCGGCTCCGCCCCCGCCGCCAGCCCCACCTCCTTCCATGTCCTCAGTCCAGTTGCGGCTGCTACTCGTGGGAGAGCTGGGCGAGGTGTAGTAATCGCCGCCGGGGCTCGTGTCCACGTCTTCCTCCATCGAGCCCGATTTGTGCCGCTTGCTCCTAAAGGGTGAGGGAAGGAGAGAGCAAGCCGGTAACCACGGACACCCGAGGGTGCTGGGCGGGCGGCGCTGACTTCCGGGCCCTAGAGGGCAGGGCGGGCGGGGTGCTCTCGCGAGACGTCGCGGGAGCCGCGTGAACACCTGCCTCCTCTTGCCTCCACCTGCCCATTGCGCGGACGGGAGGCGCGCGGCCGGGGGCAGTGAAGGGCTCGGGCGGGGCAGGCGGCAAGCTAGCGGGCTGCGGACGGAAACCCCGGAGGCCTGGCTCGTCCCCGGGTCTGCCGTAGACCTCAGAACACCGCGGCCGGACCACGGTCCCATTTTACAGATGGGGAAGCCCGCGCAGACGGTGTGACCTGCTCCAGGTTGCAGAGCGAGACCCGGTGTCTGCCTTCTTGTGGGCTCTCAAGGGCCGGGCTCATGGGACTCAAGGCTGGGGGAACGCTGCCTGGGGCGTCGGGGCTGGGGAAAGCAGCGCTTGGGGCTCATTTTTGAAGGATCAGTAGGAGTTTACCACGTGGCCCTTGAAAGCAGGCACTGCTGGGAGAGGAGTGAGCCAGCGGGGGTCAGATGGGCGTGGGGGAGGGGTCGTTGAATGCCCCCGAGGCGGGGACCAGGCACGTACCCGCTGGAGGAAGTGCTGGGTAGGGTTCTTCTCATGCCCGTGCTGGCTGGATTCAGGTCGTACGCCAGGTGCCCCTGGAGCTCCCCCAGGGAGAAGTTGGGTCCTGTCCCAGTCACCACGGGGGCTGCGGAGGGCAAGAGAGAGCAGAGTGAGAGAGGGTGCAAGGTCCAGGGCTGCCCTGTGCCCTGGAGGGTGCCGAGAGCCATCTGGGGGCTGGCCAGTCCCAAAGGGAATGCCTTCCCTGATCAGCGTGTTCCTAATTTGGCTGAAACTGTCCTTATCCTATGGATCAGAAGAGCAAAGCTGGCAAGAGAGGCCAGGGGCACGCTGCTGAGGCAGAGCCAGAGCTGGGGGGCCAAGCTTCCGAGTGCTCCCTGAGGCCAGGCTCTGCTGATGGACAGGGAAAACGACAGGGTGAAGGCGGGACAGTGCCCAGGACTCCCTGGGGTGGAATTGAGTCGGGGTGTCACAGGAGTAGGTCCCCAGCAGGTCCATTAGGAAGGTAAGGGAACAGGAGGCAGAGAGAGGAGGGGGGTGGGGCCCTTTGGGGTCTCCTCCTGGAGGGGTCGGGAGGCCCCAGGAAAGGACACAGGGGCAGAAGGCTTTCCAGCACCCTCCATCCAGCATGTGGAGTCTGTTAACTGGGAAGGAGCGTGTCGCCCTGACCTTGGGCTCTAGGGAGGGCCTGGATGCCGCCCTTCCTAGGAACCTTGGCTTGGTGACAGGGGAGTGGGGCAGGGTGAGGGCTCCTCGCCTCTCCCTGAGACCCTTTCTCTCTCAGAGCCACCCCCCCCAAAGCCCCTTCTTCTCCAGTGCCCCTCCCCTGTGGGGGTCCCTCCCCTGTGGGGGTCCCTCCCCCTCCGGATCCCAGCACAGGGTGGGTGGGGACACTCACTCCGGGACACTTGGATGAGCTCTGTGACACTGAACACACCGGAGGTAACAAAGCTCTCCTGGAAATCTGTGGTGTCTGGAACAGGGAGAAAACGGGGCTCACTGGATCTGTTTCCTTCTTCGACACGCCAGGCGCTGGAGAGGTGGCCACATCTACCCCTGCAGCCCCGCGGCAAGACGGAGGTAGAAGCTGGATCCGGGTTCGAATCTCAGCTCTGCTGTCCAGATCTGATCTTGGGCAAGTCACTGCCCATCCCTGAGCCTCCCTGCTCCCTAATCTCGGAAGTGGAGGCTGCACACCCCGCCATCTAGGGAGGCTTACACGTAGAAATCAGCTGCCCAGGAGGGGCTGGCTGGCTTTCTTCCCGTCACTCCTTACAACACGCGATGCCCCATCTTCTTACCCCTCCCCCTTCAGACTGGGAGCTCTGTGATGTTCTGTGTGCCCAGGTCCCACAGTGTCCCTAGGCCCAGACCAGAGCCTGGCCAGCAGCAGCGGCTCAGAACCAAAGGCTGAATGGAGGTCTCCCTGCAGCAGTTAAAAATCCCCAGTGTCCCCAGAGCCACTTCTGCCTAATGTCAGAGGAAGAGGGACCCACCTCTCTGGTGTGGGGTGGCCAGGACTCATTTTATGGGTTTGGAAACAGGTTGGCTCCGAGAGGGCGGGAGGCCTGGCTGACCTCAGACAGCTGGGAGGCCTGTTGTGCCCCCAGAGGTCCACTCGGGCAGGACTCACTTACTTGACAAGCACTGACCAAGTGCCTTCAGTGTCCAGCTCCAAGCTAGGCGCTGTGGACACTGTGGGAACGAGGCAGACACAGTGGCCCGCTCTCCTGGGACTCACTGTCCAGTGTGGGCAGTGGACACCACGTGACATCAGTAAGGCATAAAACCCTGTATGTAAATTGTGCACAGAGCCGTGGTTTATGACAGCCCCGACTGGAAACAATCCATCAGCATACTAACGGAGCCACAAAACGTGGTCCATCCACACAGGGAGCGTCCCTTGGCCGCGAGCAGGAGTGAGGCGCCCCACAGGCTGCGCAGGGACGGACCCCAAGCCCATGACGCTCAGGGAGGGAACCACATGGGGTGTGAGTCCACGCGTGTGACGCATCCAGAACAGGCTCCTCCACGGACAAGAAGGGGGTTCGTGCAGGCTGGGGGGAGGGGATGGGGTTGCTTTTCAGGTGATGGAATGTTCTGGAACTAGACGGTGATAGTTGCACAACAGCGCGAATGCACTTAATGCCACCAACTGTACCTTTGCTGTTACGTGAATTTAACCATGATAAAAATAAATTTAGGATCATGAAGTCCAAGGTGCCACGTGTCATGCGGTGGTAGGCAGGCAGGGCTGGGGGGCCTGCTGGAAAGGGGAGCTGCTTTACACAAAGGACTCTCAGGAGGCCTTGCTGTGGGTGACATTTTACCAAGACCTCCTGGTAGGGGTGGATAAGAGGAGTGGATGCATTAAAATTGAGGAGATGGAAAGAATGGCAAGTGTTGGTTGCCATGATTGGAGTGATCTTAAACTTGCTGTTTTGCTGCCTCCCCGGGCGCCACAGTATTCCCACCGGTGGCCCAAGCAAAGGCCCTGGGGTTGGAGGCCAACAGGGCTGGAGTGAAAGGAGCCAGGGAGGGTGGTCAGAGTGGGGACCAGACCAGCAGGTGGGCAGCTCTAAGCTTTTTGGGGTGGTGAGAACAGTTCTTCCCCAGGCCCCCAGGGGGCAGCACGGGCCACAGGGAGCTGACCTTGATGCCCAGCTTCCCCAGCTGTGGGAGACCCAAACCCTGGCCCGTCCAGAAACTGCAGCCTCCCTGGTTAGGAGCTTTGCGAACACCATTTCTTGTGCAGTTAACTATATTCCCAGCCCCGTGCTGGGGGGCTCAGGGCCACAACATCCCTGGGAGGGCAGGGTGAAGGCCCCCCAGTGTCCAGGGGAAGTGGCCATGGCCATTTCCTGCCACCCAGCTGGCCAGCTGGTGTCAGCACGCCCCTCCGCCTTCCCCCCACCGGGGTTTCCTGTTTGTGCAGCACTCGCCCAGCTCCATCTCCTGGGGACTCCCTGGCGGGTGGGAGGAAGTGCTTTCCTCTGCCAGACGCTGGAGCTCCCCATGGGACCAGGCCAAGTGCCGCTGCCCCCGCCTGCCTTGAACATCTGGCTTGGAGGCAGGCGCCTGGAGATCACAGGAGGCCAAGGAGGACTCAGGGTCACAGACGCCCAGTGGTGAGCAGCCTGGGGGGCTGTGAACCTCCTGGAACCCTCCGGCCTCCCCATGCTGGTCCTTCCCACAGGGATGTCCTCACCCACCGTCTCTTTCTTCTATTTATCCTTCCTTCCTTTTCATCTCTCCTCCCTCCTCGCCCCTGGTATGCCATCGCTCTAGTTTCTCTTTCTCTCTGCTTCTTCCCTCCCTCTCTCTTTTTCTTTCTGCAAATATTTATTGAACACCTGTTGTGTACTAGGTCCTATTCAAGGCACTGAGGACACAATAGTGATCAGGATAGACAAAAGCCTCTGCCCTCAAGGAGGTGACGCTGCATTAGAAGAGAGACACACATGTGCGGTCACTAAGCAACTAAGCAAATACATATGCACTCACTAACTTCCTCAGAAGGAAATAAAACAGAAGGTGGACATTGAGAGTGGCTAAGGCTGCTTGAGATCAGATCTCAGGTGAGACTCAGGAGATCCAGAGGCAGAGACAGAGAGAGAGCACAGTTAGCTGTCCAAATAGCAAGCAAAGCACATGCAAAGGCCCTGAGGCAGGGACTGGACCTGGATCGTTGGAGGAACAGCCAGGAGGCTCATGTGGCTGGAACAGAAAGAGTGAGGGGGACACAGGGTGGAGGGGAGGGCAGGGAGGGTACAGGGACAGGTCCTGCAGGTCCTTAGGGGTCAGGGAAGGACTTTTACCCCCAGGGAGGTGAGAACCCTCACAGCTGTGAGCAGAGGAAGGCAGGACCTGACTCAGGTGCCCACAGGTGCTCTCTGGCTACTTCAGGGAGGACAGATTGGGAGTGAGAGGACAGAAGCCAGGGGACCAGGGTAGAGGCGACCGCTCTGGTCCAGGGAGCAATCATGGGAGCAGACCAGAGCAGAAGCCGGGCCTCTGCAGCTTCTGAATCCTTTCTGTTCTCTGGGGCTCTGCTCCCAGCCCTGCCTGAGGCCCTCCCACTTCCCACCAACGTAAACATCTGTTAAATGTCTCACAGGACTGCAGGGCCCCCTGGGGCCTCTCTTGTGAGGTGAGCACCTCAGGGACCAGACACTGGGAGCTGAGGGTCGTGGGTTCCCACCCCATCTTCCTGGGTGCCCCAGGAAGGCCTTTTAACCTCTCTGAGCCTCAGCTTTCCCATCTACACAATGGATCAACAGGGGCACCTGTCCAGGGCATGTCTGTGGAGAATGAACCCAGGAATGTCTGTGAGGTGCCCATGCAGGGCCATGCAGGGCCACGCAGAGCACACAGGGTCCTCCCGCTCACCCTACGCTGTCCCCAGACTCACCCAGTGTGATGGGCTTGCTGTCCTCCTGGTCGGAGCCCATCCCTGCCCGGGGACTGCCACTCTGCTCCGCGTCTGCAGAGAGAAGGGGGAGGAGGTGGTGACACTGCAGGAAACCCCACCCCAGGGGGAGAGGTGACACCCGTGCTGGGGCCAGGCTGGGTAGTGCCGTGGAAAAGTGGTCCCCGATGTGCCCGGGCCCTGGGATCACCGCTTGGCCCCTTCCCTTGGCTGCTGCCCCACGGGGTCATGGGCGTCCAGAGGGTCCCCTACACAGCAGAACCCATGTGCACGGCCTGGCTCAGTCGCAGGCTGGAGATCTTCCCCTCCCTGAGCCTGTTTCCTCTTCTCTGAAATGAACGGAGCTCATTTCCTAACTCGTGAGGGTAACTCACTCACCCTGCCTTCACCCAGGAGGCAGGAGCTATGGTTTATGCCCATTTTACAGATGGGGAAACTGAGGGCCAAAGAGATGAGTCCTTGAGCCCTCAGCGCACCCCCCCGGCCTCTGCCCTTGAGGTCCTGGGGGTCCAGCCCTTGGTCTTGGGTTGTCACGCAGGGGCCCCCAGGAGGGGGCAGAGGGGCTTCCCCCTGCCGCTACTCTACCCCTGCCCACCCCCCTGGCTTGGGGGCTCCCTCCCACCCTGGCGCCCGCCTCTCCATCTTATCTAAAAATAATCAGGCTCCTTGGCAGACGGGCGAAGCAGACAGACGCTGAGCTCAGCATTATCAGCTCTGGAGGACTGGATGGCGAGCAGCGCCAACCCCCCTCTGCACTCCCTCCACATCCACCCAGGACCAAGGCAGGGGTTGGGGGGAGCCCATGGTCAAGCCCAGCCAGACAGAACCCCCGGCCCTACCTAGTCATCTCTCAGGTCAAAGACCAAGGTGGTGGGAATCACCATCGAAGGCCAAAGAAAGAGAATCTGCTCCTTCCGCCTGCTGCATCCCAAAGCCAGACCCAAATGCTGTGTGACCTCAGGCAAGTTGCTGAACTGTTCTGAGCCTCATTTGTCTCTTCAAATGGGTGCAAGCACCAAGAGGTGGGAAAGAGAGACTACCGAGAACTGGTTCCCTGGGGCTGTCCACACGTTGTTATTATTGTTGGTGTCATGTTTCAATCCCGAACACGACCGTCAATGTGATGCTTCACTGTTCCCATTTGAGACGTTCCCTTAAATCCCTAAGAGAGCCACGCATCTGGCGTCGTCATTGGACCCATCTTACAGACAGGAAAACTGAGGTTGAAACAATGAAGGAGCACCCACTTCTCCCTTAGGAGGTTGATCTGCATTAGTTTGCATGCGTGCCCAGACATCCCCATGCGGCCATGCCTGACGCGTCTGGCTTCTGGGCTCAGACGCTGGGTGCCCATCCCAGCTCCGAGAGCCTCAGCGGTGAGGACGGGGCCCCCAGCAACCCTGGGGTCCGTGCTGATGCCTCCCAAAGCAGCCATGAGCCCTCACCCTTTGCCCGGTGGCTTTGCACATACTGTGCATTGAGCATCTCCGGGCTGCCCAGATTGGCGGGGCCCTAAAGGGCACCAGAGCGAGGACCGGTGCCTCGGTTTTCCCACTCACGACAGGAGTGGTTGAGGGAAGCCACAGTCGTGACCCACTGGGCCGGGCACGGCTGGGCAGCGGCTGAGGGGAGTGTACCTGGCTCGGCCCCACGCCCTGTGGCTGCTCCCGGGCTGGGCAGCCAGTGGCCCCTTGGCGCTGGCCACTCCTGCTTGGATGCCATGCGGCTGGGCACGGGTGACTCCTGCGTTGGGAAGAGCCCAGCCTGGGCAGCCGGCCGTCGGGCTGCGGGCCTCGGGCACAGGACCCTCTTGCAGAACTGGTGTCCACGTGGACTTAGCAGGCGGCAGTGCCCGCCTGGCACGCGGGTGCAGCCCCAGGAGGGGGGCATGTTCCCCGAGCGCCGTCCGCAAGCTAACGCCGGGGAATCAGGGCGCTGGGCCTGGGACTCACCGCTCCCTGAGCCTCACTCTTCTCATCCGGCAAGTGGGCGCAACTCCAGCTCCTCTCTCAGAGGCCGCGCTGAACCGGAAGGGTGGTAATGGGGGCAACATGCTGGCCCACACGGTGGGGGGCTCACCCTCAGCACCTCAGCAATCGGAAGGGGGCGTCTTATTATCATCAGTGCGATTTCCCCCATTTATGTTCCGGGCGCTGGTACTTTGCACCCACCGAGAGCGATGGCCCTGGGCTAAGGCTGGCTCCAGCTGGGAGCCCTTATCCCCGTGTTCATTCACTCTGTGACCTTGACCGCAACCACGCGACCTCTCTGAGCCTCCGCTTCCTCAGAGTGAAACGGGGAAGATAGTAAAACCCGCGCCCTGGCTTTGTCAGGGCGCCAAGTCAGCTAATAAGACGTGCAAAAGGGTTGGCATGGACTGACATTCAAAAAATGGTAGTTTGGGGAGCGGCCGAAAACAATGGTGTTCTTAATTTTGGTCTCTAAGTGTTCGTTGCTGGCATGGAGAACGGGGCCCGGTTTTGTGTGTCCATCTTGTATCCCGCAGCCCCACTGGACACATTCGGTAGTTCTAGGAGATACTACGTTTGTATAGATTTCCTTGGAATTTTCTTAGCCCAGGGCCATCATGTCCTTGATAAACACGTGCCGCTTTCTCTCTTCCTCTCATCTGTATGCCTCCGATTTCCTTTTCTTGCCTTATTGCTCTGGTGAGGACCTCCAGCACAGTACCCAACACAAGGGCTGAGAGCAAGGGTGCCTTCTTGCTTCTGATCTGGGGAGGGGGGAGCTCCCTCAGTCTCTCACCACTGAGTACGAAGGTAGGCGTGGCTCTCTGCTGACCCCCCTCACTAGGCTACAGGGGTTCTCTTCTCTTCCTAGAGTCCCGAGAGCTTTTTCTTTTCTTTATTTTAATGAAATAAGTGTAGTTTCTAAACAATGATGCTGTAATTATATGCTATCTCATTACATTTTTAAAATTTAGTTTTTAGATTGTGCTTAAAGATACACAGCATACACTCTACCATTTAAACCATTTCTAAGGGCCGCCCGGGTGGCTCAGTTATTGAGTGTCTGCCTTCAGCTCGGGTCATGATCCCAGGGTCCTGGGATCGAGCCCCGCGTCGGACTTTCCCACTCCCCCTGCTTGTGCTCCCTCTCTCGCTGTCTCATACTCCCTGTCAAGTAAATGGATAAAATCTTAAAAAAAAAAAAAATTCTAAGCGCACAGCTCAGTGGCATGAAGCAAGCTCTTCCCATCCTGCAGCCACGCCCACCCTCCATCTCCAGAACTTTCCATCCGTCCCCACGAAGCACAGACTCCCCACCCCCTGCCCCAGCCCCGGCTCCCACCCTCTCCTCTCTGTCTGCGAGGACGGGACTCCTCTGGGGACCTCCCGGGAGTGGGGACCTGCGGGACGGGTCCTTCTGGGTCTGGCTCCTCTCGCTGAGCCCCGTGTCCTCGGGGTCCCTCCGCATGTGGCAGGGGTCAGAATGTCCTTCCTTTTAATGATGCCATCTTATTCTTAATTACCTCTCACCTTCAGAATCTTTCTCATCCATCTGCGGACCGTTTGCCTGTCATTCGACTCCTGAACCCTCCCACCTTCCACAGCCATCCAGCGTGAAGGCCACTAGCCACGTGTGACTTGAAATTCACACCCACTAAACTGAAACTGAGTTAGAACTTCCAGACTTCAGTGGCACGTGTCACCTCTCAATGCTCAATGGCCCACGAGCCTTCCGGTGACCGAACCGGATGGCACCGAATGTTGCCATCCGCACAGAAAGTTCCACCAGGCTGAGGGCCCCTGGAGGTTTCCATGAAAACTCCAGAGCAAAGGGGCACAGGTAAGCCCTCCTGTCCCGTCTCCGCACACAGCCGGCCCTAAAACGCACTCTCAGGTCTGAACAGATGTGCCCAGAGAGGACAATGTCGAAAGGATGGCTGGTGTCTGATGCCCCACGACGCCCCAGGCCCCAGGCTAGGAGCTTTCACGAGCCGAGTTTCACTGGGTGAAAAATTTCCGGCACCATCGGATTCAACCCGCCTGGCCGGTGGGTTTGGTAAACTGAGGCCCACCTCAGAAAGTCTATACCCCAAAGCTGATGCCAAGTTAAAGAAACTGTGTGCCTAGCACTGAGTACCTTTGCTGTTCAGGGCAGTATCTGGGGACGTCCCTAGGTCGCCATGACAATGGGGGTGCTCCTGGCATCGAGTGAGTGGGGCCAGGGATGCTGCTCAGTGCCCCTCCCCCCAGTGCCCAGGACGCCCCTGCCCCTGCAGAGAACAACCCGGCCCAGAGCCGGCAGTGCCAAGAGGGGAGACCCTGGTCTGGACACACCCATTTTCAGTGGGGATGAAAGCGCTTTTGGTGGGGCGCGGGGGATGGAGAAGCTGGACAATTTTGCTCTTTTGTGTATAAAACATGAAAACATGAATATAAATACGGCACCGGAATAGATATGTACCTGTGATATGAAACCTTCATGGGTTGCAGGGATTAAAGGAAAAAATGTCTACAAAGGATCTGCTGGGGCGGCAATGATAAAAAGAGGGGGTACATTTTGTACCCTAGTGAATTTTTAAAGGACTGTAAAGGGAGAAAGGAGAGTATGTGACAGAAACTGGATGAGACCTGCCAGGTCGTAAATATTGACCCTCTGGGCCTTTACTGAAAGTCAGCTGACTTCCCGCTGTGTGTCGTCCGGCAAGTTCTTGACATCTCTGAGCATCCTTTCCCTCATGCCTAAACTGGATGTGAACCACATGACACTTATTCCTTTCCTTTGGAAAGGAGCTGATTGATGGGCACCTCCTGGGGGACACAGCAGTGACCAAGATGGACAAAAGGCCTTGCCCTCATGGCACTCATGTCCTGAGGGGGGAGCGACAGGCCATGACTAAGTAAGCAAATACGCCAGGAGGAGAACCTCAGGCTGTGCCGAGTGCAAGGGAGGCCAAACCACCGGGAGGGAGAGGGGCTTAGGCCAGAGCTCCTGGGAGGGCTGATAAGGCCACTCCACGTGAAATGGTCCATTCTGGTAGTTAATACTTAGTGAGTCATTTCTTTGACTATACTGGGCCACCATGT